CTCCCAACGCACACGTGCCGTCTGGGGGGAGGAGGAATCCGGCCCCAGGGCGCCCGCGAGATGCAGGAGCTTTGCGGTGAACGCGGGAGCTCCACCAGGCTCCAGCGCCGCACCGACTCACTCCACTCATGGGCCACGCGGCACGCGGCCCTCCCGCGACCTGCTCGGGCCTGCTGGGAAAGGCAGGCTCGGCGAGGCAGCAGAGAACGCACACGTGCCGTCTGGGGGGAGGAGGAATCCGGCCCCAGGGCGCCCGCGAGATGCAGGAGCTTTGCGGTGAACGCGGGAGCTCCACCAGGCTCCAGCGCCGCACCGACTCACTCCACTCATGGGCCACGCGGCACGCGGCCCTCCCGCGACCTGCTCGGGCCTGCTGGGAAAGGCAGGCTCGGCGAGGCAGCAGAGTTCTGCCACACGGAGGTTTTAAAGTGACTTGGACCAAAGGTGGGTCTGTCCCCAGTGCCTCGGCCAGTCAATACCGCACCTGGAACGCACCGTTGTGTTCACAGCAAGCTCAGCCCGCCCTAGGCTTCCAGGCACACGCGTTAGCGCTCGCCGGGCAGCGTGGGGAACCCCACAGCAAACGCCAGGCTCCAAGCTTTAAACTGCCTTGAGATTAGTGACCCAAGAAGGGACAAGCCACGGGTTTAAAAATCAGTCCATTTAATGTTAATGCCTGGGCCAACCGAGCCCTGGCTGTGATTTCAGCCCCTGCCCGCTCCTGCGCTCGGCTCGGCAGCCCTGCGGGACACTCCCGGCAGGAGAGCGCCACCGGAGAGCAGGAGCAGAGACCCCGCCCCAGCGCAGACGGGGGCACACCGATTTAGCGCCAAACAATCCAAACAGGGATGGGACAGGGTGGCCAGAGCTACCGCAGCCAGGCATTCCAAGCGCGCACCCAGCCCAGCCCCGCAAAGCGCGCTCCCGGCCTGCACCGTGCTGTGGACAGCCTGGGGCCTTGCTTCATTCGAGTGGCCAGAGAAGCCGCAGCTCCTGTGGCCAAGGGAGAAGGCGTGGCTAGCACACTGCACGGGGGCGGGGTTCGCAGGTGATTAGTTGTATCCCGAGATGCTTGGAAGATCCATCCCTGAACAGGCCCAGAGAGCTTCCAAAGAAAGTCCTTTCCTGCAGGAGCCGCGGCGGGGGAAGGGTCTTAAAGCACTAACATCCATGGTTCCAAGCTGGTGCACACACGATGCAGCGTATCCCTGAAAATCCACCATCTGCCAGACACTCCGTTGGAGCCAGCCTGGGGAATCACTCCTCCACGAAGTCTCTGTCGATGTCCATATACGCCTCCTCAATGTAGCTAACTATGGCCCAGGGGGACGTCCGGTCGGGGCTGAGCAGTAGAGAGACAGTCTCTTTCCAGTAGGTAAAACTAATACAGGAGCTCTGAGGGGGAAGAGAGTCCAGTCAGGTGACAGGCTGCAAATATCCCTGATGCTCGTTAGCATGAGCCTGAGCTGCCCCCAGATACGAGCTGGTCTCCCTCCCCGAGCACCAGGCAGAGAAACCCAAAGGCCCACGCGGTCACCCGCTCGCCAGGACCCTGCGTGGGGCGGGGCTGGCCCTAAGGGAATCATGGGTACCCAACCCCTGGATCAGAGGCAGCAGTGCAGGGTGGCAGGCAGGAGCAGACTGGCTCTGATACAGAGGCAACAGCAGCCCCTGTCCGTGAGGGAGAGGCGCTCCCCACAGGCTGCAAGGTGGGGGGGAGGAGAGAGTGTGGTTAGTAGGATTAACCGACAAGCCCAGGGTGATGGGTGAAATCGACGACACGGTAACATCCCCAGCCTGGGTTAGATGCTGCAGAGGATGTTTGCTTGCTAAGTTTCCCAGCCGATTTTACACGGAGACATTTTTATGGGCCTTGGGTTGGGTCAAAGCCGATCACGGTGAACGCTCCATTTCCAACCTGCTGCCCGCTCTAGCACAGAGGAATTCTGCTCAGCATTTGATCCAATGCAGACAGGCATGTCGGTCAGTAAAGCTACCGAGGGGCTATTGCCCCACCCATGCTACTCCCACCATGGAGCAGAGGACAAGTCCGCGGTTTGCACCAGGGAGCGGGCCCTGGCTGGAGAGAGACAACGGGGCAAGGAAGGGTTCCACTGGACTCCTGATCCCTTAAGACTAAGCCGTGGGAGAGGAGCACCATTTCCTGCTGGCGTGAGCCGAACCCCGAGGTGCTGCCACGCTAGAGGGGCGAAGCGAGCGAACGAGCAGGAAGTGCTGTGGCGGAGAGGAAGCTGGAGAGCTGTATGTGAAAGGCGTGGCTATCCGGGGGGCAGACGGGGGCGTTAGCACAAGTCAGGGGAAAGCTTCCTGATCTGGCGCCGGGGCAGAATAGCCCCTCACCCTCCTCGCCCCCAAGGAAGGGGAACAAGCCCATTGCTTGGGACGCTGACAAGGAGACTTGCCAAGTTCCAGGGAACAATTCTGCACCGACTCCTCAGGACCCTGCCTAAGGCCTTTGCCCCCCGAGCCGGTCCCAGGGCAGACCGGATTCCAGCCCGACAGCTGCCTCCCGCTCCCGAGTGGGTGACCTGGCATGGGATTGCCGAGACAGCACAAGCACTTTAGGGACACTCCCTTGGGAGGCAGGGACACTAGCAGACCCGGTCTCCCAGGGCAGTGGAGACTCCACCTACGTTTTCTAAGCAGGTGCTGTCCTTGTCCTTGTTGAGGTAATGCTGCTGCCAGAAGCGCAGGAGACTATGGAAGTTGTTGAGGATGAAGCCGGGGTACTTTTGGGTGTATTCCATCTCTTGCAGCGTGTGCAGGTAGAAGGGGAGCTTGTCTTTCCGCCGGGCCAGCATTAGGATAACTAGGCTTGTGTTCAAACAACTGACGTTCTCCTAGAAGGCAGGAGACACGGAGAATCAAGGTGCAGCGTACTGGCGAGATCAAGCATTCCAGTGATCAGAGAATTAGCTTGGGAGAAATGCTCCTAGCACCCGCTCGGCCGCAGCAATGCTATCGCCGTGCCAGCTCTTACCTGCGTGAGCGTCTGGACATGAATGATGTTGATGAGGCGGAAGAGGAAGGACATTCTCATGGTCATCTGAGACATGTACGACAGCAGGCGGCACTCCGACAAGACTTCGGCGACTGTGGGGCCAGAACCAGAGCGTTAGCTTTGCAGAGTTTCGATACACAGGAATGCAAGTGTGGATGGAAGGGCCGGGCAGCAGTGTCTGAACCCGCGCCTGACAAGGCCCTGTGCTCAGAGCTGCAGGCAGGCTGGGCGTCCCTCAGAACAGACGGGGACACTTGGCTTGGAGGAGACGGCTGTGTGGGGTCAGACGGGGCTGGCACAGAGCTCTGTTACTGCGAGGGGTCTGCTGCTGAAGGCTCCCCCCTCCCCGGCAAGGTGGCAGCGCAGCAGAGAGCTGGTGCTCACAGGATGCACACGGGCCAAGTCACATGAGACACAACCTCTCCCAGAACTGCCAAGTCTTCCCTTACCTTTAATATCAGACAGGTTCTCAAATCGGTCCAGAGACAAGGTAATGCAGCGAACCAGCATGTTTGAGTCAACCAGTGAACTGTTGATCTGGTTCAAAAAGATCTGAAACTGAAGACAGCCATTTTAGAGCTAGGTTTGCCAGTGACATGACAGGCGGGCGCTGGAGGAGCAGTTTCACACGTGCGGAGAATGCTGAATGCAGTAACAAGCGGCATTACATGGCAGGAACAGCTATTCGGACTCTGGTGTCGAGGACCAGCCTCCAGCCCCCGGCTTACAGCGAAGCCTTTCACACTCTGTGCATCCAGCGTGCAGCTCCCCCAACAGTCCCTCCGAGTACAGCGCCCCGACCACTCCAGGGCCCATGTACCCGAAGCCCATGGCCGACACCCCTCCCTGTCACAGCCGGAGCGCTCCAGGCAATGGGACGCTTGCCCAGGAAGGGATACGAAGATGCACAAACTGGTCTTTTGAATATCCCGGGACCACCGCCCCTGGGCGTTCCCGCCCAGCCGGGTAGAGCCAGATGGGCTGCCAGGCAGGCCCCACGCAAGCAGCAAGGTGTCTGAGCCCCTCCCGCCACACCAAACCATCCCTCAGAGACGGAAAGGGGCAATTAACTCAACTCAGCACAGCACTGCACCTGGCACAGAGCAGGGAGGCTGGCTTCCCGAGGACACTCACCTTCTCGTCCGTGTTGATGTATTTGTTGAACCTCTTGAAAGCGTCAATGTTGAATTTCATCAGTTCTCCCAGAAGGTCGAAGTAACTCTGAAGCACATCGCGGGACTTGCACTCGCTGTCAACAATGCAGTAGAGAATATGCTGGCGAGAAAGGAAAGGGGGTTACCGCCACATCGTAGCCTACGTCAGCAGAACGCAGATTCGAATGCTTGCGACCCAGCTACTGCTTCCGAGTGACACGCGAGTACACTTTCTGGAGGAGGTGAATCAGGTGATTTTCCCCTGTAGGACCCACAAACGGAGCAGCTAAGATCTCCTTGTCTATGCTACCCCCCCGCCACCCATCTAATCTACATGACTCCAGCCTAGCTGAAGTTGACGTACTCACCACTACGTCGTCTGCGCTGTAAGGTCTTCCGCTCTCCCATCGACACCTGCTACTCACCAGGGTGAGCATAGTAGCCAGGGTCAATGGGCGAGCACGTGGAGATCGATTTATTGCATCCAAGCAAACATGATAAATCGACGACCGGTGGATCGATTGCTGCAGCATCGATCCCGGTGCAGTGGAGACAAGCCCTCAGGTAGAAACAAGTCACCTAGAATCTGCATACTGTAAGGACCTGCGCCGATTCCCTGGTTCGGAGTGAGCCCAACCTTAACTCTGATCACCTACAACCGTTCAGATGCCTAGAATCACAGATCTACCAGATGTGACCACCCCTTAAAAAGTTGATTTTGTTGAAAACAAAGCTACACCTCTCAAAAGTGTCGCACTAGGTGTAAGAGCTGCCTATTACTGCAGTGAATTCCAGCTCTCCTTTCTTAAGGTGCCTGAATTTTCTTAAAATTAAATCCACCCATTTCCATGGAGATACCAGCTAAGTTCGTTCCAGTGTACGTAGGCCAGAGCAGACATCTAGGGGGTTACCTCCAAGAGCCCTCTCTTTAGCAGGAACATCTGGTCTGCATAGGAAGTGGCACCTCGGAGAAAGCTTTCAACTGCTCTTGCTTGCCAAAACCTGAAACAAATACAAATGGAGTTTTCCCCAGGAGCCTTGTTGAACTAGTAAAGATCAATTTAGCACGCACATTTCAGGCTGAACAAGGCCTCCCTGGCCATTTCGTTCCAGCACACAAGTGAAAAGGTGCAAACTGATTCCACTGAAGAGTCACTTCCACGCACTACACCTGAGAAGCCGGATCGGCCCTTGCAAGTCTTCTCCCCACGGATAATACAATACGGCAGCTGTCACAAGCACTGATCACTAGCAAGTCTTGCCAGTCCCGCAAAGAGCCACGTACCCCACGGTAAATGGAACCCACCTGAACGAGGACTCGGCCGGTTCCTTCTTCATGACCTGCAGCAGCCTGGTTAGCAGCCCCCTTTTCCCGTCGCAGACCAGACTTCTAAAGGACGCAGGAAAAAGACTGGAAATATTTCAAATGGCAACGAAACAGGAGTGCTCAGAAGGAGCAGCAGGCCTGACGGTTCTGCGTGAGAACGGGACGGGGGAGGGAGAGTTTGGTTCGACAAGCACAGGGTCTCTACTGGACTCAGAGCCAGGCAGAGCCAAGTGAGCTCGTCCCCACAGGAAAGCCTGCCCAGCTCATCGCGCCTGACCCAACCAGACAGCGGCATCACCGGGAAAGGCAGAAGTGGCGCCTGAGCCACGAACAGAATTTGCAGGCACGGGGTGAGACGAGCTAGGGAGGGACATGGTGGTTGAAGGAGGCGGCAGCGGCTGCAGCCTCATCGCGCCTGACCCAACCAGACAGCGGCATCACCGGGAAAGGCAGAAGTGGCGCCTGAGCCACGAACAGAATTTGCAGGCACGGGGTGAGACGAGCTAGGGAGGGACATGGTGGTTCAAGGAGGCGGCAGCGGCTGCAGCCTGGAGCCCGCAGAGCAGAACTCTGCACAAGGGCGGGCGCCGGCCTAGGACAGCTCACCAGCGCCGTCAGCAAACGGGACGTCCCCTGCGGCGTACACAGGCTG